AAGTAGGAAAGATTGGAGTTTAAGGCTCAATGATGCATTATGGGCTTATCGGACCGCCTACAAATCCCCGATAGGTATGTCTCCTTTTCGTTTAGTGTATGGGAAAGCTTGTCATCTTCCCGTTGAGTTGGAACATAAGGCCTTTTGGGCCGTGAAAAATGTCAACTTGGACATTGATAAAACCGGTATTCACCGAAAACTCCAACTCCAAGAATTGGAAGAGATACGCAATGATGCGTATGAGAGTAGCTCTATATATAAAGAAAAGACCAAAGCTTATCATGATAAAATGTCTTCTCGTAAGACATTTGTTCTAGGTCAAAAGGTCTTACTTTTTCACTCTCGACTTAAGTTATTTCCGGGAAAACTTAGGTCCCGGTGGGTGGGACCATTTGTTGTTACTAATGTTTTTAGTCATGGTGCAATAGAGATTAAGAGTGAGAAAACGGGAAAAGTGTTCAAAGTTGATGGCCACCGTTTAAAGCCATTTTATGAAGGTTTTAAACCTCTTGACGTGGAGGTTTTCAAGATGGAGGTGCCGGAGGGAGGATCCATTTAGACAAGAAGGTGTCTAGCCAAAGACGTTAAAGAAAGGCGCTGCATGGGAGGCAACCCATGGATTTCAATTTATTTCAATTTTTTTTTTCTCATATGTTTTAGTTTCGTTAGTGCCTCCTCTTCACTTTTGCGCCTCCCTTGATTATTCTCAGGTTTCACCTTCAAATTTGGAGCTAAAAGGACGTATCTACMTGCACAAACTCATACATTAGAGGACTATTCACCAAATCAGGGGAGTTTACTGTTTTCCCTCATTATCTGATTGCTTCGAATATCCTTTGCTTTATCGAATACATTGAGGACAATGTATGATCTAAGTGTGGGGGTGGGATGTCAAATTTTTGACAATGTCTTGGCATGGTCCGGGTAGATAAATGTTTTTCAGGGTAAATACTTAAATGTGAATTTTTGTCCGTTTTGACAACGTGTTGGCATTTTTTTTATGACTTTAACTATTGATGATGATGAGTTTGAATGCATGTATAGCATGATTGAGTTTGATTGAAAGCGCTTAGAGTTGAATAGTGGTAATATACCGGTTAAAGTTAGACTCTTGCTAATCTCTTTAACAATTTTACTACCGTGAGACTTTGAGCCTATTAGACTAAAACACTTGATATTAGTCTCAATTTCATTTCTTGTGTGATTACGTCATGCCTAGTTATGTACCTCTAGAATTTGACTTGTCTCTCCTTAAGATTACATGATATTTACATGCTAATAAATATGATAAAGGCCATCGTTTGCTCATATTTTTTTTTGTTAAACCATTGGCCTTTAGCTCACCCTTTTATGTCATTTTTAACCTTTTGCACACCACTTTGAGCCTTAGCCTATTTCATTTGTTGCCCACATCATAAACCAATCCAAACACGACTCACCCGACTAAGCACCAATGGAGTGATCCCAATATTCCTTTATACTTGAAAGTTGAATTTGTTTGTTGGGGAGGGAAATAAAAAAAAATGAAAGGAAAGATTGAAAAAAGAAAAAAAAAACAGAATATTCAGAAAAAAAAAAAAAAACAAAAACAAAAAAAAACAAAAACAAAAAAAAAACAAAAATGACGATACGGTTGAATATAAACGTTTCTTCTCTATTCCATATCGTCCAAAAAGGAACGAGCTTCAAAGATAGATACAAAAGTCCTTTGTGAAATAAAATAAAATAAAGTGTGGTTGAGTAGCCGGATTCTCCGTTGGTGTTAGGTCTTAGTCACTTTTCCTAAATATTTCCCTACCGTACCCAAAGCCTTGTTTTTCATTACACCTGTTAAGACCTTTTGATTTATAAGCATGTATGTTATCCAAGTAATGAAGGGTGAGAGACTTTTCAAGCATATGGTAGGTACATGCTAGTGTAATGACGGTTTGAGCGATACACTTTAGCCCAAGGAGTGAATACAGTGTCATTTTGTTAATCCTATTCGTGAGAGTTCTCGAGATTAGCTTGTGCCTTTTTAATTGGGTAGACCCTCTAATTGAAGCTAAGCCGCAACTCTTAAGTTCATGATATTCTATACATGTTGACATTCTCATTTGATTCATTATTTTTTCTATAACTACGTGCTAACTTAAGACATTGCCGGGACGGACAATGATCTRAGTGAGGGGGTATTTGATAAATGATTTTATTTTATATATCTTTAATATCAAATCACTCTAAATTAGTACATTTCTAGACTAATAGGACCCAACTAAGTGTAAGATTTCTCTTTTTATACCAGCACATTCAATCAAAGAGAAGAAGCCAAAACATGGGCTGTTTCCA